TTTAGCTATTTGCTTTTATACGGTGCTTGGTTTCTCATTCTGCTTTTAAAATGCACTTGCAAAATGACATGCAACATTTTACTACTTTAGAGATTATTTATAAGTAAAGGTTATTGTTGTCACAACATTATACAGAACTGAACTCCTTTTGCTTATCTCTGGAATTGCCTACACTCCAATGCTAGTCCTTTTGTAACTAACTTGGGTTTTATTCATTTCAATTACTTCTAAACTTTTAATTCTTCTAGCATTTAATTGTGCTCTTTTGTTAACCTCAGCCCAGTGCTCTCACTATAGTCTAGTTCTAATGATTTACTTTTACATTTCACTTTTTGCTGGACTAGTCTTTGCTTCTGTTGTGATCAACTTTTCAGAAAAAAGGTTAAGATTCAGTTTCGGCTAATTGTGACCTTGACTGTGTTTCTTTCCTGCTATTGGGTAAACTCCACATTTTGATGCAGTGGTTGTGTAAACTTTTTATCTAAGACATTTCATTCAGCAAAGGCTTTGTTTACAGATTAAGTCTCACCAACAGTTATTTAAATCCATTTGATTAATGCTTAACCTTTCAGTAAACTTTAATGCAACTGGAGAAAAAGGAGCAGCTAAAATTGATCAGTTTGTTCAATTTCATACCTTTCTACTGGAAATGCACCTTTCCTCTGTCAAATAAGTCTGTTTAATATTTGGGAAGTTTTTTTCTAACCAGGAATGTGATGTCAGCTTTGTTTTTTTTCATCAGAATCGTGTGTTCAGATTTGTTTTAACTTATTCATTGCTTTGAGACACTTGAGGTATTTAATTCCATTTGTTGTAAATGGGCTGACTCATCTTGCAACTGTTCTTTTAAGGCTGCCATTTGTAAACTGGGTAAAGCTAGTGAATCTATGCAAAGGGAACTTGTGTTGCAGTGACATGACTCACATGGAACTGAAGTCTGTGTCTGTACAACACCAAGTGAGATGTGCTCACTTGGAGAGTTATGTCAAAGAAAGCCCGTTACTGTTCAATCATAAGGGTGTAGACCTCACATTGTTTTATGGTGGTAAACAACATTAGTCAGACTGATGGAACCAGTTGCAGCAGTGAGTGTCTGACTTGAAGACCCATTACAGTAAACCAAGACACCAACTTAGTGATTCAAACCCAGAAGTGGAAAAATGCTCAAAGTGATAGCTAGTGATAGGAGGGGCCATAAGCAATGAAATTCAAGGCATGTACAAAGAGAAAGACCGGGATACAGCTGGGATAAGAGAATCCTCGTTCAGGATTCTTTAAAGGTTAGCATGCAGGTTCAGTTAGCACTTAGGAAGGCAAATGCAACGTTAGCATTCATTTCAACACAGCTAGAATGCAAGAGCAGGAATGTACTGGTGAGACTGCTTAACCTTTGAGTTAACTTTAATGCGACTGGAGAAAAAGGTAAGAGCTAAAATTGATCAACATCTTCTCCACATCCACTCTATCTATTCAATGAGAACTCCACATCATTGGTGAGGCTGTATAAGGCTTTGGTCAGACCGCATCTGGAATATTGTGAGCAGTATTGGGCCCCGTACCTATGGATGGATGTACTGGCCTTGGACGGGATCCAGTGGAGGCTCACAAGAATAATCCCAGAGATGAAGGGCTTGTCATATGAAGAGTGGTAGAGGATACTCTGTACTCAATGGAATTTAAAACAATGATGTGGAGTTCTCATTGAATAGATAGAGTGGATGTGGAGAAGATGTTGATCAATTTTAGCTCTTACCTTTTTCTCCAGTCGCATTAAAGTTAACTCAAAGGTTAAGCATTAACCAAATGGATTTAAATAACAGAGACTAGGACCCGAGGGCACAGCCTCAGAATGAAGGGCAGACACTTTAAAACTGAGATGAGCAGAATGTCTTCAGCCACAGTGGTGAATCTGTGGATCTCATTGCCACAGAAGGCTGTAAAGACCAAATCATTGGGTGTGTTTAAGACTGAGATAGATAGGCTCTTGATTGGTAAGGGGATCAAAGGCTATGGGGAGAAAGCAGAAGAATGGGATTGAGAAACATATCACACATGATCGAATGCCAGAGGTGGCTTGATGGTCCAAATGGCCTAATTCTGCTCCTATATCTTGTTGTCTTTTGGTCTTACAACATGTACATGTTTAATTTCACTAATCTCTTCCTATTTCCATATCATAGCAAGATTTATGATCTTATATTTGTCTCATGATAGGCTACTCTGATATTTTCTTTTCCCTTTCCTTATACATTCCTTGGTCCTTTGTTGAACCTAAAATCCTTCCAATCTTCAGAATTACTACTTTTTTGAAAACTTTATATTTACTTCCATCTTTAACTCCTCTTGATCCAATACCTGAGCAATCTCTTGTGGAATTTTTGTGTTCCAAAAACTCGACGTAAAATTCTACTATAACTCTGCTCCAGATGTCAGACACATGGAATACGGGGAGAGCTAGCCATTTGGATATAAAATTGGCTCAAGGGTAGGAGACAGAGGGTGGTGGTGGAGGATTGTTTTTCGGACTGGAGGCCTGTGACCAGCAGTGTGCTGCAATGATCTGTGCTGGGTCCACTGCTTTTTCTCACTTATATAAATGATCTGGATGTGAATACAGGAGGTGTGGTTGGTCAGATTGCAGATAAAACTAAAATTAGAGGTGTGGTGTATAGCGGAGAAGGTTATCTCAGAGCACAATAGGACCTTGTTAAGATGAGCAAATGGGCTGAGGAGAGGCAGATGGAGTTTAACTTAGATAAATGTGAGGTGCTGCATTTTGGAAAGGCAAATCAGGGCAGGACAGAAACACTTAATGGTAAGATCCTGGGGAATGTTGCCAAACAATGAAACCTTGGGTTGCAGGTTCATAGTTCCTTGAAAACAGAGTCACAGGTAGACAGGGTAGTGAAGAAGGTATTTGGTACGTTTGCCTTTATTGGTCAGTGCAAGGAAAAAGGAGTTGGAAGTTCAAGCTGCGAACATTGGTTAAGCCACTTTTTGAATACTGCATTCAATTCTAGTCTCTATGTTATAGGAAAGATACTGTTTACCTTGAAAGGGTTCAGAAAAGATTTATAAGGATTTTGCTAGGATTGGAGGAGTTGAGCTATAAGGAGAGGCTGAATAGGCTGGGGCTATTTTCCCTGCAGCGTCAAAGGCTGAGGGGTGACCTTATAGAAGTTTATAAAATCATGAAGGGTTAACAGGGTTAATAGCCAAGGTCTTTTCCCCAGGGTAGGGGAGTCCAAAACTATAGGGCAGAGATTTAACGTGAGAGGGGAAAGATCCAAAAAGGACTTAAAATGCAACTTTTTCAGGCAAAGAGTGGTGCATGTATGGAATGAACTGCCAGAGGAAGTGGTGGAGGCTGGTACAATTATGTCATCTAAAAGGCATCTGGATAGGTATATGAATAGGAAGAGCTTAGAGGGATATGGGCTAAACACTGGAAAATGGCACTAGGTTCAATTGGGATGTTTGGTTGGAATGGATAAGTTGGACTGAAGGGCCTGTTTCCATGCTGTACATCTCTATATCTCTATGACTCCATGTCCCTTTCTGAAAGATTGTTCGTTAACCCTTTTTATGTCTCACAATACTTAACTCAAAGTGACTTGTTTCATCATTGGTTTCTTCACATACAAATCTAGAAAACTACCTTGTAGCCATTCGAAGCAAACTCCTCCTCCACACTCTTATTGCAAGGTTGGTTTGCTCAGTCTATTTATCATCCTTACTTTAAGAGCTTACCTTGATATGCTTTGCATCTGCAGTTCAATACCAATCATTTTTATTGTTTCTCCAGATACATTTAAGCAATAAACTAAAACAAACAACACTTCTCATTGTAACAAAACTGTTGTTGAAAATTTGAAATAAAACATGAAGTGTTCAAACTGCTTAGTGGAGCAGGCAGCATCTGGGAAGAATGCAACAGATGTTGTCTAATGTTTCCAAAACAATCTGTTTTACTTTTCCTTACGCTTACTGAAGGATATGATTCATTACATTCTTTGCACGCTAATAGTGGCAGGGGAACAAATGGAATTAAAACCAAAACAGAAATTGCTGGGAAAAATCAGCAGGTTTGGCAGCATCTGCGGAGAGAAAGCACAGTCAACGTTTTGGATCCAGTGACTGGAATGAAAAGATGTGATCCTCACCACAAATTCAACTTGTCAATTCAAACAAGTATATGGGGACTATAGATTGTAAATTTTACACCAGCTGTTTATTCAATGCTTATGTCCCTACCATCAGGTTATTATGCAACATTGTAATGAACGTCAGCTGTCAGTCATGAAACCTTTACCCTTGCATCACATGTTATGGGCTCAAGTCCCACCTCAAAAGCTTGAGTGCCGGGAATATGTATGTTAATATTGTGGTTAAGTACTGAGAGACTTTTGGATCTTTCAGATCAGGCATTAGACCCGAGTCACTGGCTGCTCTCGCGTGGCTGTACAATATCCCATAGAAGGACAGCAGGGGTGTTATCACTGCGTAATATTTATTCCTCAATCTAGGCTACAAAATAAATGGTCCTTATCAGTTTGTGGGAGCTAAAAGTGCACAAATTAGCTCGTAGGTTTCCCACGTTCCCACAACAGCATTCAGGCTCAAAAGTCTTTAATGCACGGAAAGCGGGCATCCTGCAGCTGTGCTGGCTGCGGTCTAAATCTCAGCCTTTTTTGTTCTAATTTTGTAACCTGAAACTGTACGATCAGTGTGATCAGTCAATACAAGTTTTAGTAAAGAAAGAATTTTTGAGTGAAAAAAAAGTATGACTATAAACCAGTTTGTGCATCTTAACGCAGAAATCCAATCTTTCAGCTCTTCTAAGATTGATTTTGACATAACTTCCTGATGATGTTAACGGCACAGAACTTTTACACAAGATTTGTGATGATTAATATCAGTGTTAATATTGCCCCAAACACAGGAAGTGATATCATTGCCACTGTTTCCAAATCGCAGTCTATCTTTTATGATCGCAAGATCCCTCCTGTTGCTTACCCACTGTTTCAACTGTCTCACTGACGAGCCTTTCAGACACACCCAGTTTGCAGTTCTTTTCCCACCCCCTCCAAGCGGCGTGAAGTTAATGCAAGTTCCGCTTGATCCGCTGCTTTATGTTCTGTGCAAACCCAGAGCTGGTGGACGGTTGATGTTTGTGTAATTTCGGTCCAGCCGAAACGCTTGTTTTCCTTTGGGAAGTGAACGCTTGAACTGAGCGAGCTGCGGCCGAGCGACCTCCTGTGCTGTTAGAACATGCATTTTTACGGAACTCGCCTTGTTTCTAGCGGCTGCCTGATGTAAGCCACGTCGTTTTTATGGTGCTTCTTAACGTTTGAAGTTTTTATTTTCTCCTCGTTGTCGGATCTGTTCTCTGGGACTGTGTAACTTATTTAATTAGACCATAATGAGGCTGCAACTCGCTCGTGTTGTTTATAACAGCGTCTGGCCAGGACTCAAGCTATTTGTATCAGTGTTTCTGATTTTGAACGGCCCGGGAGCTGTGCAGAGTGAAGAGAAATCATGTCACGGAGCGTTTGATCTTTACCTTGTACTGGATAGGTGAGTATCAGTGTCCTCCAGATTTTTGTTTCAAATCTCTATTTGCCAGTCATGGCAAGTTAGAACTTAAAATGTAACAAGCCTTGAAATGATTTGTGAACATTGATGGAGATGCAATAAGTGGGACTGATTTGGGACTGTAAAATGTTTACTGTGCCTCTAAACAAACTTTTATTTATAACTGTTTTTCGGTCATTAAACACCACAGGTAAAGGCTGTCAGATGAGAGTGGGACACAGCCTGTTTCGTGAACTTTGGTTTTGTAACCGAGCACTGTTGTTTTACAGATCTGGGAGTGTGGCAAACAACTGGGGAGAAATTTATGGCTTTGTGGAGGCGCTGGTCAAGCGGTTTGTCAGGTAATCTATTCAACAACAAGCCTCGGCAACTTTGGTGTTGTTGAGGATGCTGTGAGGGCATTTTTTTGTTCACCGTATGGGGCAAGTGAGGGGTAATGCTAACTGGGTAAACATGTCATTATACAAATGAAGCGCACATTTTGGAGGAAAGGCGGTAACACTGGGGGAAGACTAACTTATGTTGCATTGGTGGAAATGTGAGATGATGTTTTAATCTAGTGTGTCTTTTTTTTCAATCTTGCAGTCCCCAAATGAGATTGTCTTTCATTGTGTTTTCATCCCGTGCTGATGTGAAGATGCAACTAACTGGTGACAGGTTTGTGCACATTATTTTGTTTGGTCTAACAGAAAACATAAAGTAATGCTGCTGTTAACAGGCCATTCTTATTGCCCAATCTTAATCACCCTTGAGAAGACACTGGTGAGCCACCTTCTTGAACTGCTGCAGTCCCCTGTGGTATATGTGAACACCCACAGTGCTGTAAGGCAAGGAGTTCCAGGAGTTTTGACCCAGCAACAGTGATATAATCCAACTGTCCTTGACAAATCCCTCAACCTACAGCCCTCCTCTGACCTCCCTTTCCTCCTGAACATGTTGCTGCTTCCCACATCCATGCCTATGTGGCCCCACATTCCACACTTCTGCACACATCTGTCCCAGCACGTTATAAAAGTTGCTTAATAGCTGGTGTTCTGGGCAAGCCACTTTGGTAAAAGAGGCATCAAACAGATATTAGGTCCCTTATTTTCATCTCTTAAAAGGTCCAACAGCTGTTTGCGTTTGTCTGTACAATAAGTGAAGCACAGAATGAGGACAGCCTCCTGCATATTTTGGTGCATTGGTGTTTGTTTTTTGCCTGCAAAATCAGCGGAGCATTGTTGAATTCCTAGCATGTGGTGCTAAAACCATAAGAAATAGGATTGGGGGAGTTCATTTGACCCCTTGAGTCTGCTCTGCCATTCAGTAGGATCGTTGCTCATCGGACATTCCACACACTCACTTTCCTGCATTTTCCTCATGACCCTTGATTCCCCAATTGATCAAAAATTTATGTATACCCAAGACTGTGCCCCCACATTTGTATCTCTCCTTATTTCTCTCACGGCTCATCTCTGTCCTCAGCTCAGTCTTAAATCACACCCCTTTATTCTGAGGTTGTGCCTAGACTGTCCTATGGGGGTAAACAACCTGTCAGCATTTACCCTGTCAAACCCCTTAAGAATCCTATATGTTTCAATGAGATCACTTCTCATTGTTCTAAATCTCACTGAATCGAGTCCCAACTTGTTCAACCATTGCTCATAAGACAATCCTTCCTTACCGGGAATCATCTTTCTTTGAACTGCCTTCAACGAAATAATACTTTTCCTTAAATAAGTTGGGTTACATAAATTTCATGAATTGTGCCTTACATGACCATACTCAGCTCTATTTCTTCAGCAGTTCTCTCAGCTAGTCACTGCCTTTGTGTAGTTTGCTTGCTTGGCCAATATTCAGTTTTGAGTGAGTATGATTTAGTCCAATTCAACATTGTAAAAATTGAAGTAGTTATCTTAGGAGTTGCTGGAAAAGCTCAGCAGGTCTGGCAGCATCTGTGAAGAGAAATCAGAGTTAATGTTTTGGAGAAGGGTCTGAGGAAGGGTCGTCGGACCTGAAACATTGACTCTGATTTCTCTTATCAGATGCTGCCAGACCTGCTGAGCTTTTCCAGCAACTTTGTTTTTGTTTCTGATGTACAGCATCCACAGTTCTTTGGGTTTTTAATTATCTTAGGACTCCTGCAAAAAATACCTCTGTTCCCTTGTCATAGAGGTACTGCATGGAAAGAGGCTCTTTGGCCCAGTGTGTCTATGCGGGCCATCAAACATCAATTTAGCCTAATTCCATTTTTCACCATTTGGCCTGTAGCCTTATATGCTATGGCATCAGAAGTTTAGCCTGGAATTAATAAGAGAGCTGAGTTTTCAAAGCATCAGCCAGCTGTCACAGAGAAAGTTAGATTTGGAAAAAAAATTGATTGAAGTTTTTGAGGAAGTGACTAGAGTTGACTATGTGTGACTTTCCAGATACTTACTAAGGGACTAAAGCCACAAGATTTCATGGTTTTGAACAAACATATTAAAATCTTCCTGTACAAAGTTAGAACTGCAATACATTATATGACGTATATTCTGACATTTAATTAGAATTAGTTTGAGGTAAGTAGAGAAACAGATGGAACCCCATAATGCTTATCAAATAGCAAATGCAGTCAGACAGTTGCTATGGATTTCTGAGCAAACTCCAGATATTAGTGACACTGTGGGGCAGCAAATCCCATTAAAATTTTACATTTGAAAAGTGTTAGAATGTGTAGCGACTGTTATTGAGTGGCACTTAGTCAACAGTAGCCTGCCTAAAGATGATCAGTTTGGCTTCTGCAAAGGTCATTGAACTCCTGACCTTAATACAACCTTGGTGTAACCATGGACAAAAGAGCTGAATTCAAGTAGGAAAGTGAGAGTGACTGCCCTTGACCTCAAGGAAGCTTTTGACTGAATATGGTATCAAGGAGCTCTAGCCAAACTGGAGCCAGTGGGAATCAAGGGGCAACCTCTCATTGGTTAGACTTCGACATAGCCCAACGAAATATGGTTTTAGTTGTTAGATGTCAATCATCTCAGCCACAGAACATCATTCCATGAGTTCCTTAAGGAATTGTCCCAGGCCCAACTATTTGCAACTGCTCATCAAGGATCTTTCCTCCACTATAAGTTTTGGGATAGACATTTTGCTGATGAGTGCATGTTGTTCAATACAATTTGTGACTGAGTCCTTAGGTACTGAAACAATCCATTTCCATGCTCCTTCCAATTTTCCTGCCACTGCAAAGACCTCCAAAGCTTTTGAATTACAGCAATTTTCTCCATCAAGCACGCACCATTCTGAATGAGAGCTACGTCACTATTCCCTGTTTGTCCCAAGTTCAAATTCCTAGAACTCCATCTCTAATCATTCTTTGGATGTTCTTATACCACATAGGCTGCAGGGGTTCAAGGTGCCAACTCACTATCACCTTAGAGATAGGCCATAAATGCTGGTTAAGCCAGTGGCACCCTCGAACCATGAATGAATTAAAATAAAGCCCCATGCAATGCTGTCATCCCAGGGCAGAATGGCAAATTTTAGGGCCTAAACTCTCCCATGTCCTAGCCCCCACCTGACACACCAGGCCTTGTTCTCCCGTTAGCCTGCCATTACACACTGCCTATTGTTAGTCACTAACAGTCCCTACTAACAGCCATTCACACTCCCAGCCAGATCGTTATCAACTCCTTTATCTGTCCAACTGCTCTTCTCTCTCTTCAGGCTCTATCCTATCATTTTCTCCCTACCCCACCCACCTCCCTATTTTCTGCATATAAACCGATGTTTTCCCAGCTACCATCAGTTTTGAGGAAGGGTCACTAGACCTGAAACATTAACTCTGACTTTTTCTTCACAGATGTTGCCAGACCTGCTGAGCTTTTCCAGCAACTTCTGTTTTTGTTCCTGATCTACAGCATCCACAGTTCTTTCGGTTTTCATGCCAAATTTATGTTGTGATCTAACTAGGTCTCAGGAATTTTTTTAATAAAAGTTCCTAAGGTACATGCTATGGGAATAAAGTCATAAGATTCTATGACCTTGAACAAACTGCAATAAACCCTGCAAAACACATTTAGTAATAAATGTGGTCAAGATCCATCCCTTGGATTTCTCAGCATCTACCCCATTTATGTGAGTCAAATCTCACCAAATCTTATAAGAGATATCAATTCTTCATTCTTAAAGTCCTAGCTCTGAACTCCGTCAAAAATCTCATGGACTGACTCAGTGATTGCTCAAGTTCCCGTAGTTGACTTCCAATTGGGACTGTTCCCTGCTTGTGAGCACCTGATATATTAACAGCCCTGAGGTAACTACCCTTCCTCTGGTTGCTGTATCAAACTGCTTAAAGTTGACTGTTCAGAGACACCTACTTAAATCCTTTCAACAAACCCCACCCTTGTTTCTAGGTCATATTTAATATAACAAATGTTTGGAACAGTTAAATGTAGCAATGTCTTAGAATTGCCTGCTCCTTGAAAGTTACAGTTTTCACAGGTTGCTTTCTTGTACAGCACAAAATGGATTACAGATAAAATCCACCGAGTCCATTAGTCATTCCATCCTGGTTCTTCAGGAAACTCTGAAAGCTCTCCTCCTTGAGTCAGGTTGTTCATTGTCTCACTCATCTATCTTTGCAATCTCTACAGCACTATCATCTGCACTGTGCCTATAGATAAAACTTTTTATTGTAATTTTGCACCAGGAGGGCACTTGAATCAAAATATATGCTCCTTTATTACCTCTAACTAGAAAAATAAAAGATATGAAAGTTTGTAACATTGTAGCTGAGAGAGGAAAAAATAGTGCAGACTAGTCCTTTGTGTCATTTGGTGTTGTTTGAAATGAAATGATACGCATCACAGACTGTAAAATAAGACTATTATATGTGTGTACATTTGAGTATTATGAGCAAAATGGTCCTATGAAGTTTATAACTGCTTGGAATGAAAGTAATTTTCTTTAAAGGTTTCTTGAGAGACTTAGTAGTTAAATAAAATGTAAGAGAAAAACCTTACGTCTGCAGCAGTCTGGACCCTGCAAAGTGTTCTGATTACATTGTTGTATCACGTAAATGCATCACTAGAAAAATAATACTCTGTTAAGTTTCTCAACACACATTGTACCAGTTAAGCTTGAGGCACTAGACATATTGTTAAAACAAATCCTACAACTTGATAAGAGTCTACAACATCTTTAAGTTGAGAAAAAAAAAGAGGAAATGAAAATTTCATTAATTGTGTTTATAATGTATGAAAACTGGTGCTAATAAATAAGTAAATTAGCATCCGGATTTAACTCAAAGCAATTGTGTTCCTTTTGTTAGGAAAGTTTTTTTTATACGTCCCAATAGGAGTGCCATTTGAGACTGAATTTGTTCCAACGTTGCACAGTTTCGTTAAACTGGCTTACACTCTATTGGCCAAGAAAATAACACAGTTAATTTACCAAGTTTTTGGCATCAAGATAATAATTACAAAATAGATGTAGTGTACATTAATAGCAAATACTGTTGTGAAAATCAGCTTTGGGGAATTACATGAGGCACCTTTTTTATGTTACCAATATGCTGCATTTATTGTTAGAAAGTATTATTTGAAGAAGCTTCAATGTCCCCTGAACAGTTGTTGTAAATCAGAAGTCAAAAATTTTCTTTTCGAGAAATGTGTATATATAAAACTAAATAA